TTGGATTGTAAATAGTAACAAACTTTTTATATTGGAAAGCACAGATGTTTTTCATTAAATGTCCTGTTTTTATCGCTTTCGGCTCGCTTGATTTCTTGCTTAACTCTTTTCATCCATTGACTGACTAGAAAATCAAGTTAACGTAGATATATGTACTAGCCAACAATCAATCTGTTTTCCCGCTATCTCACAGCTTTCTAACCACTTGTGTATTAATTTCATCTGAAACTAAAACCTTTTGTCTAACACTTGGGTATTTTATTCTGCTTGACGATCCTTACCTTTTTTCTTTCCGTCGCTCCATTATCGAAATCGCTCACCGTTGACTGATGTGATCTTATTCAAATATTTCGCCTAACATCGTAAACATTATACAACTAATCTTTTGATTATTACTGTGTACTGGAAGTTTCACACAAGTATTGTTTTTTGAACAGTTTGACAACATCGACTGTTCACAATGTTCTGCAAATGGAAGTACCTTAAAAATAAGTTCGCTCTTCTGATTCCTCTGCAGTAAATGTGTCAAGATAACTTCATTCTATTGCAATTTTTTTGCATTAGGTCAATCAAGTAGTTTGGTAGGTCACTTATTTTTCATTTGAGACTTTTGTGTTCGTTCTGTTGATTAGCATACCGAGCAATTAAAATTTCTTGCTTGACTCTTTTCTTTCAATGATTGAACAATAAATCAAATCTACTTTCATATATGTACTAGCCGACAGTCGGACTGTTTTCTGGCTATTTCAGAGGTTGATAACCATTTATGTAATTATTTCACCCAACAATGCAACATATTCACAGTTGAACAAGTCGCATCGTTATATACTAGGATATATCAGGGTGAATGATATCTGAAGTCAGTTCATATAGCTAGTTAGATTAATTACGTCATTTGTTATATTGTCTAATATTTGAGTATTTTATTCTGCTTGACCATCCTTACCTATTTTCATTCCGTTGCTCCATTATCAAAATCGCCACCACTGACTGATCTGATCTCACCTGCATAGTTCTCCTCACCTCTCGAACATCATACAAATAATCTGATGGTTATCACTGAGTATTGTCTGTTTCTCACAAAAATTGTTTTTTGATGAGTTTGACAACAACAACTGTTCATAATATACTTCAAACGGTAGAATCTTCGGAACCCATTTACCGAATTTCGCTCTTCGAATTCCTCCACAGTAAGTGTGTTAAGATTACTTCATTCTTTTGCAAGATATTTGCACTAAGGCATTCATTTGGTTTTCTAAATCACTCCTTTTGTATCTGAGACTTTTGTGTTAGATCTGCGGATAAGCATAATAAGCAATTAAATTTCTAACGTACTAGCTTCACAGGATGAATATCTATCCGTCCAAAAAACATTTATTGAACAATATGTTATTTATCATTTGATGGATTATTTTATATTTATATACATCTTGGGAAATTCATCTGTTTCTTGCAATTCAACATTGTTAGGCCACGTACTATTCGCCATGATACTTTTTGTCACTAAACATATTATTTACCAGTTTTATTTCGCTATATAAACCATCACACTATAATTTAGGTGTAACTGCAATACACTGTACTATATAGAGACAACTACTTCAAAATATAGGCAAGATAATTGAAACAATGTTGTCTGGTGTCGTTCAATTGATCGGATGTTACTAAAAGCATTTGAACCTGGGCAAACATATAGCTGATTGTAGACAATATAAAGATATCACACGATACACATATAATTTGACCGTAGCGCAATGAAGAAAGAATATGTTCATGCATAGAAATTCCACTAAGTAATAAAATAAACGTTAATAAAAGACACTAATTCTTTTAAATTTGTTTCAAAGCTAGAAAATTCAATGACATTATTCGTGCAGCTACTACAAAAACATCTACTTAAAAAAATGAAATTCCATCTGACACTATTCGCTCATTCGTCTTCTGGTCTTCCACAAAGTTTGATCACACCAAACATTTCTATCTGTATTACCGTTCGTTTGGATTTTCTACCCGTGAACTTTTGTCAGAAGCACCCACCACAATATGTTCATTCGTTGTAGTCTTTTGGTTATTGTTTAGTAATTTTTTGTTCAAGTAAACAGCATACGGAAAATATTTTGGCCCGAACTGTAAGTCATTTTTTGAGTCAACGTTAAAAAACATCTGATGCGTTTGTATCCTAAAAATTAGAAATAACAAACTGCCCTTATATACTTTACTGGTAAACCTGAATGACGCTTATCCACATATGTAGGTGACAAGCTTTTTATAATTTCAAGGAAATATGTCAACAAAGTGAGTGTCTTAAATCGACGGTTTGTGATATCCTAAGTGTATTTAGAATTACAAATCAGACTCATTAAATGATTCAACAAATGCTTACGAATAATGAAAACAATTACATTAGAGTTGTTGCAATTAATTTAGGTCTCGAAAGTCACATGCAATTATACTGTAATATTGTTTTTGGAAGTTCTAAAATAAAAAGTTGAATGTGAGAAAATTCATTATGTATTAAACATAGACCCTTGGCCAGGATTCAATTGATATATAAAAGAGGTCTAATGGAATTAGAGCAAATGTGAATTGAACACGCTCCTACTGCTTCATTTGTAATTGACACCTACTTGGCCAATTTAATGTACAGACCTTATATTTTTATAAGTTTGACTTGAATCATTTTTCGGGTCCAACATGTTTAATTTCAGTATGCATGCGCACATCAACCAGACTGACAGAGACACATGCAAGTCACATATAAACATACTACATTTGCTTGAACATGATCAAGCACAGATGAAGACTGTTTCACGTGATTTCGTTTTTCTCGAAATCGGTCATCGAATATTCTAGAAATCCACAGTAGTGAATTGGTCCTATCTCCGTCGACGACCGAGCAGTATTATTCAGAAACCTAAGATCTCAATAAACTAAACTTCGATATTACAGCTACTCGTCACGCATGAATAATTTTTAACGACCGACATGAGAGACAGTAGGCTGAAGTTTTACCCAACCAGTTTCTGTGTTAGTGTAATTGTGATAGTCTAATCAACTACTATCTCTATGATCGCATTTACGATCAAATACTAACAACATTGAAGTAGACAATATATGCTTTATTTATTGTTATTTGAGTAAATATATGCAATCGATTTATGAGTGTACATCAAGTATAAATCGATCAAGTAACAGTTTGTGATGACGTGTAACATATTCTCCACAAACAATGAAGAACAAATTTAGATTATGCAAGGTTTTTTATGAAAAAACATTCAATCGGTAATCACTGCCTGTAATATTTTCAACTGGCAAATACAGTTTCATGTAAACAATGAAAGAAATAATTGACATGGAGTATCGAAATGATAACAAATAGTATATATTCCAACGAATATATAAAAATCACATATAATTTAGAGTAATCTTCCAGTTTAATCTGTTTCATCAATAAGTATGTTGTAAATGCAATTATCTGTAATTGAAAAAAACAGTCTTAATTAGTTTTATAATAAATAAAGCAATTAAACACGTCATATCTATGTGATATTCATGTGTGCAATGACTGACACGTGGACATGATTTGAAATTCGCAGATAATCAGTCAATGATTTGGTTTTTTATGACATCTAGTCTGTTGATGTAAAAAACGAAGAAATACTGAATATATTCGTTTGACTACATCTCGGTTTCATGGATTATTCTTATGATATCGGAAATACCAATGATACGCTTGAAAATCTATCATGTATCATTTTTGCAAACGTCCCAACGTTATAGTTTCAGTGTATAAAACGATTCACAATATGCAAAACGTGTGACCTACGTTTAAAAGTCAACGTATGTTTATACATATAAATCGGAATTTATGCGTTCGGTAAAGACTCACGACAGACATTGCTTCGCACCAAAAATTGGCCATACAATCTAGAATACAAAAGAAGAAAATATTTCATAACAGCTCATTTTGTGAATATTTGTTCGGCACGCAGACAGCAATATTTATGCACATATAGGATATCTTCCATGTGTGTTTATGAATTATCTGAGGAAATGTCGGCAGCACCAAAACGGCTGAAACATCATGGCCCGACTTCGAATTGTACACAATAAACATTTAAAATGGTTCGCCTAAACACTCTGTATGGTCACTTTTGCATTGGTGATTTAATATTATTATTTTTGTGTATTCACCTTTATTAGGTAAACGAAGAATGTATCAAGTTTCATTGCTGTGACTATTCCAAAACGGATAGTTATTGGTTGACATTCTTTATAAACATATAACAATAACTCAATAATACCTCTTGGTATGTTAAAATAAATGCTTCATGGTAACCCACGGTAGACGAATTCGACCTTGAGTATGAGACGACACTCTCAAATGGGCAACCGATACAACCAGTCATCAATTTGCATCGTTTTGGACAACCAAATTTTATTATTCATAATTTACTGGGAGAGCGATTTATATAAATGTTATTATACATATATATGTTTGTATCATGAGAAACTTTCTAGAATAAAATGGATGAAAATATTTCATTTTATATCAATATGTGAGTATTTTTTCGCATGACTAAAACGGTATTTATTCATAAATGTGCTCACTGCTACCAATATATTGAAAAAAGCCAGTATCATGTTTTAGTTCAATTCATTCATTGTTCACAATGTGGACAGAATAAAACTTCAATTTTTATGCCTGAAATCGTGTTTAACCATAAATTAGTTGACTGTTTATCGTCTCCTTCTACATTTCCGTGTGTGGACTGAAACCACAAAGTGTAAACGCAAATACATTGATGAAATAATCGCAGCAGCAGAGAAAAAGGAACATCATCGTGGTTCCTTGTTCAGTACAAGAATTTGTACCTTGAGTCTTAAAGTCTGTATATCATAAAAATTCAAACACAAATCATCATAAAGTGATATTCATATAATAATCGAATCAGTTATCATTTCCGATAACCTGAAGTTGATTTTTCAGGAATACTTACTTTACATTCATTCTTGTTTCTGCAGATTATACTCAAAATGCTGCAAATGATTCCAATTACTAATAATGCACAGCAAACTAGAAATAACAGTATCCTAAATTTTTCAGCGGAATATTTCATCCTTTCACCCAATAAAACACTTAAGATCAATATTGTGAATGACACAATCGTTGCAATCATCGGTTCATACCAATCATCACGTTTAGTCAGTAATGCAACACCGATAATCATTATAATCAGCTAAAAATTAAAGAAGAATTTTGGTACGTTCTTGTAAGTTCGTCATGGAAGTAGTTTATAATGAACAATAACATCACAGTTCCTGCTATTTATATCTACATGATTTTAGATTTTTCTCATGACAGTTGCTGATTCCGATGAATTCTATTGACAGTCGTGATAAATATTTCTTCGACGACTCTGTTTACTTATTGCACTTGATAATGTTCCATCACCAATTTCATGTGAAAAATATCACACAGGAAGATTTATAAAACAGAAAGAACAAATGATGTTCTTATCAGCTGAATTCAACTTCTACATAGAGCATGAAATGATGTAATGCACTTTGTAGAAACTCACGTTATAAGACATCCCCGGCATGTAGAAGCCGATAAAAATAATAAAGTTTGAAAATTTTTGTTTCTTTATTCTATGCATTGAAATTATCAGAATTTCAATGCGAACTGTAATTTCAGAAATATTTCTTATGTTTTCGTACAGTCTTCCTTAATGCACGCCTAATCTACACACTCAACTTGTCATCGTCATTTTTGTATCATCAATGTCAAAGTTAGCCATGGGTCTTACGTAACCATGATTCATTTATCATTCTGTTATACGCATATCAACACTACTGTATATAAGATTATATCATGAGGATCCAGTCGGAATGAAATTTCTGAAAATCAACCTGAAGATCTCATTCGAAACCATGTTTTACTTACGGTAATAATCATGATGATGGTATTCCTCGTGGATGCGGTGTGCAATGCTTCGAAGAGTAGTATGAGTATTGTCAGTATTAGACCGATTCCTCTGAAATGTGAAAATAAATTTCACAACAAAATAAATTGAATTGTACATTGAACATAGTGCGAGTCATAGCAGTTCTCTCTAATATATACGAGTCTAATGTTCAGCGATTCCGAGGAGGAACATATTGAAAGCGTGATCACAATTATTCCTTCAGCTTCAGAAATAGTACAGATTAACTATATACCAAATAATAAAACCGAATTTTTTCATCTTCCATAACTTACAGTAGAACAAGACAAGATATGTAAAAAGGATCCTTGGATACACATGAGTCAAATCTGTCAAGTAAAATGGTATATTTTTAATCAACGTCAATTACTTGCAGACATGAACTCGTCTTCCTGCTTGTACAGATGTAAATGTCTTCTGACAATGCGTAAAATGCCAATGTTCTCATTGTTGAAATATTAGGATTGGATAAAAATATTAACCACATCTTCAAATAATTTAGCAAAAACTATAGATTTAATTATTGATGGCATAATTAAATAATTTGAATATGTAAAAATCGACATACTGGTTTCTAAATTTCTTTCCTTTCAACGATATATATTCATAAAAATGTTTCGAACTGCAGCAAAATAGTTTGACGTCCGTATATACTGCACCGTTCTGCGCAGTTATCAATCGACGTGAGGTCATTATTATTATTAATTTTCTATCTACTTATTATTCTATCTGCTCTTAAGCTCATCTGCCTCAGTTCCTTCCTATATATCTCTCTATCTTTCGGTTATTATCTATCTTTTTATCTACTCATAATAAAATAATCGTCATGGTTAATTGTACTGCATCAATCATTGTATTGATACACCAAAGGGTATCAGAAAATTTATAATCTGTTTCGAAAGTTTACAAACTCACATCACTCTCCTTCAGCGTTCGCTTCACACAACTCAAAACAATCACTGAAATTTATATCCGCATACATGAACATGTATTTATTGACAAATGACTACCATATAACCGAACTTTGGACCAAATAACAATGAAAAACGTTTTCAAAATACAACGTGTCTGAATTTCAGTGGTTTATACTGTATAAGTAATCAATGAATAGTTGAAAATACTTGGAAATAGATATATCGCATTTTCTCATGTCGCTGTGCTCATATAGCAAAATGATAGAATGTTCATATCAGATAAAACATCAAGAAAACAAGTAAAATGTTCATAATTTCCTTGAAATTCCGATTACTAGTTAGTTGAATGATCTTTGGCGTCAGTTTCAATACTCAATTACCATAAACTTGTACATATTTGTATGAAGCGATTACGTGAGATATTTATCAAGTAAACGTGAAAATATGTTGATAACGACTAGAAAGTAATCAGTGAAGTTTAACTGTAATGGTGTGCGTGGTGTGCGCATCTCATCACGTATGTCATTTTCAGAATCTGTGATTACTCCATTTTTGTGTGACGTGCCGAGTCCATCAGCGAACGCGGCCCAATACTCTCAAAACTTGCTTGAAACTAAGACCTAATGTAAAAATTAGAACAATACATATTAGCGAACAATATTGTTTTCGATTAGATCGTCATCATGCTTTACTCTAATATACATGAATATTTACATGAAAATGTTAAACTAATCAAGGCAATTTGAGTCATAATCACATTGAAATGAAAATGATTACATAAATACATATTGTAGGCAAAATATATTACGTAAGATATTACGTAATGTTTTTGATGTTTTTGATGATTATTTGGATTCTAGTCATCCACCCTTGACGTACTTTAGTTATCATATTTTAAAAATTTTCTTACTACTTATTGTTTTCCTACTTTGCGCTTGAACTTTTGCCTAACATATGTAATTACGCAATCTTTGTCATTTCATTGTGACTATCACTCAAATTGCATGATTGGTTTACCATTTTCATATAAATATTCATATATTAGAGTTCGATTAAATGTGTTGTTCTAATTTTCAAAATGGGAATCTTTAAAATTCCTAATGTAGAAACCCGAATATCTTGCATCGCTATTAGTTTGTCAATCTTTCAGTCTCACGATCGCAGGTTTACTAATCAGTCTCACGTAAAGAAAATTGTCGGACATTACAAGTGTCTAGACACCATAGTAAGGATACTTTTAGTAGAAAAACCCGATTTGTTTGATAGTACTGGGTTTGTTTGTACTCTCAGTTTATTTGTACTCAGTAGGTTCAAACGTTTCGTTTGCACACGTTTTCGTTAAACTAGACGTCGCAACTTCCACTTTTCACTCCTGCACGATTTCGGTATTACTTCGATTCGAAACAACCACCATAAAATAAAATCCTTTTTTTAAGAATAAATCTTCTCTGTCTTTGATACTCAGACAGATTTCGTTACGTGACGGGAGCGAAATAACTCTGTGATGACGTTCCTCGTAAACAAACAAGAATATCCAGTCTTTTATTATTTGCCCAAACATATATTAACTGCTTTATTCGTCGTCGTCCGCGAATTCGCAGACGGCACTGTAACGGTTTGAAGAAATGCTTTTTATGCATTATATTGATCCGTATTAAAAGGACATTCAAGTGGTAATGACGCAAGGTTTTGCAATTGTTGGTCCATTGAAAAACAAACAATACATTCAAAAGTATATCATAATCTTACAAGATGAAAGTTCTCAATATTTAAGAATAAATATATCACTTAAACGGCATCAAAATAAATCAAATGCTGAAGATTGTTACTTAAAATAAACTGTATGACAATATGACAATCTAGAACTGAAGTGGAAAAAACCATTCAAAAACAGCAATATGTAAAATGATAATATCTTGCAATTTAATTACTTCGCGGTTTTTAAAAACAACTTCAAATTTATAAAAAGTAATCGCTCATTTACAAAGAGAGCCATGTGCTTATTATATCTAGGTATCCCACATTTATTATCGTCTCCAAGCTTCCTAAATTGTAAACGTTTAATATATCCTTTTGTTGAACGCATCCAAATTTGACCCGTTATGTACGAACTTGTATTGACGGAATCGATGAAAAATATAGTTATCAAGGTAAGTCAGCATATATTCTGTTACAAGCAGTCGCACAGATTTAGTTTGCAGGCCACGGGATTTCTATTCTGTGACAAGCAGGTTAAAATATGCTGTATACTTTTATGTTTAGGTATAAAAAATAGCGGCGGAACTAAACGTTTTAAGTAGTTATGCACCGAATAAACGATACTTACAATGGATGAATTTTCATCATCACAAACAACATGAATGTGATACTTTTACGTTGATCGCATCAAATTTACGCCAACTATAGCAAGTTCTATTGCTTATGAGACATCAATAAGATAGGACCTGAAATTTACTAAAGTAAACCTAATCAGCATTGAAAGCCGGAAAAGGCAATTCGCTAGAGTGTTTACTAAATTTTTTCAGGGTTATTAATTTGAGCGCTGCATATCATAATTATTAGAACTCAAGGATTCAATAATCGTTCTCATATTTCCTCATATTCTTCAGGATGACTGATTTGTGCGTTGAACTTCTACATATAATCAAACACTAAAATGTTACAAGATCTGACAACCGATATAAGCGAATAAAGGATGCATGAGAGGAGAATGATGTGAGTGTTCTATACTTTGTAAGGTCATGATACAGCGCTTACGTAAGCTGGCAATATGACTTGCGAATATACTAACGTATCCAGTCTCATAATAAAATCTTCAGAAAGATACTGGAAGTACCTTGGAGCTCAGAGAATCCTAAAAGAAAAGGCAAAGGTAATTACTATCACAATTAGATGACTGAATGAACGTGACTCAGTCAAGTCCATCAACTGACGGCATCAAACATTGTCTTTATCTATGATGTGATTATCATGAATTCAGCTGAAGCTTTGCCAAATGTCAATGTACCTTACTTCGAACAACTTACTTTAATTTAATAAAGTCTCTGGACGTAGTCAAGCTAACAATGAAATAAATAGCTGAACAAGAAGATGCTTAATTCGAGGCAAACCGTAATTAAATAGTCGACGGATCTTAGTAAGGAGCGTAAATCCTAAATTGGAGTCAGTATTCACAAGCACCACAGAACAGACCACAAGCAAATCCCAATATCATATGAGCAAGCTGCTTCAAAAAGCTAGTTTTTCTTCAGATCCGCAAAAAATCACGCGTTTGGAAATTCATTGAAACTGAATTTTGTCTTCGCATTTTGAATTTGTTACACCTATTGTTTGCAGAGCGAATGGGAGAGAATGAGCGAGATAAGTAACTGAGTATAGAAACAAAATCTCATGCAGATCTCTCAAATTTAAAAGTATTACGTGAAACAAGTTTCGCACATAAACTGAACCTTGGCTGAGTGTTTACTACCAAATGTCTGTCACTGGTTAACATTCGTCATTTTTCCATGGTGTTTCATCTGATGTTTACGCTTTCTAATTATTCACACGAGACTAACAAATGAGCGAAGTTAGTTTAATTTCTCTACGTCCAAGCTTTTCCACGTGGTCAAGGATTAAGTTTACTTTATTTACAACTAAATTTGAGACTCCATTACATATCACACAGCTTTTCCATTTGATTATTGTCCAAAGTTCAGTAAAACAGTAATCACTATTCAATGTTTGTTGTAATGTAAATAGTGTATGTGATAAGAAATTCTGGACATTGAATGGTGTTCTGCCAGATTAACGTTGGAGTAAAGAGATGTGAGTTTGTAAATTTTCACAACGTGATGTCACTCGAGCTTTGATAATTTTCAACTTTATTCAGTGTATTATTCCTTTGATTGTGGGAGTACGATGAACTGCCTCATCTATTTTAGTATGCTTTGATACATAGATATATTAGTCAATAGGGAAATGTATTTGTCAACAGACAGACTCAATAGTAGACAGTGAAGAAAGTGAAACCTAATGGTAGCCATTCGTTGACTGATATATGCTCACAACAGTACAGAAGTTGACGATGTCCAACTACTTGTCTGACGTGTCAGACATTTTCATGAATGTTGATTCAGAATTAAATATTTCACATGACGAATCCAACACAAATGTTACGCTTGGGCTAATGAAATTTTCAAAGTTGAAAAAAATGTTTTTAATGTTGTCTACATAAATTGTGTGGATCATCCGCTAAACTGATCGATCAACTGTGATAATCCATTCCATAAATAACCCAACAACTAAACAACAATGACTGCACGTCAGTAGAAATTATGTGCACTTTTAAAAATGACTTATATTCGAACGAAATGAAAATCATCTGCCTAGTATTCTCATTGTCTTATTCGTACATTACCTTTCGAAAATATTCCGATGAAAACATTGCTTATCTGAGCGGCTGACAATTTGTTGCGTTTATCTTAGACAGAATTAGTAATGAATGGCACCATGTTTATTGATTAATCCAATTTATTTTGTTTTCGTTTTTATATTCACATTACAGATTTATCGCTATGATACGGGCACAAATCATAATACTCACCAAAGCACT